ATACTTACGCCTAGCCCCATATCAAGTCAAACGCTCCGCCTCAAGCCCCCGCCTTTTAAAACATTGCTTGTAAGTAGCGTATAATAGATTGTTTGATGCCTCGTTGAGGCATATGTAAAACGTCTCGCCTTATGCCCCACGCCTTTCAAAACACTGGTCAATAGCATGACAAAAAGATTGACTTTTTGTACAATTATTGAACAAACTAATTTGTTTTTACTTGTTGGCAAATAAATGACTTGATAACGAAGAACAAAACAGATATTATGATTGGGATTTGATATCCAAAGTAAAAATATTTGACGTTATTGATTACCCAGCAATACTTCGTGTATAATATAATATGGTATAGAAAACCAATTTAGGGCTTGAAAATAGACTCCATTTAGTCTTTGAGATATTTCTATCATTAGCCAAGGGTGTGTTTGGTACGGAGGACCTAAAAAATACTTTTTTTTATTTTCTCATATTTGGTTGGCTTGTTGAAAGAATATTTTTCTTATGAGCTCATTTATGAAACTCTCTTTCAACCATCCTCACTCCAAAAATCCATTTTCGCTATCCCTTGGCATCTCCTGCCTCACCTACCCCCTCCCCCCGGCCTTGTCTTGACCCACTCTCTCACCCTAGCCCACTAACTCTCGCCACCCCTCCCCCCTTGAAATACAATAGGGGAGGGCTAATTATGTTAAATTTAAAACTTAGTTGGTCAGAGATGGTCTAAGTCGATTCTTTTTCTTGCAGAATATTCGTTAGTGAAAGATGTAGGCAATAAACTGAATAAAATAGAAAGAGAATAAGAGAGACAGAAAGTTTTTATACTGGTTCGTGTACGGTATGGTACCTACATCTAGTTCTATTGGGTCATAAGAGTTTTCTTAGATCTTCAAGTGATTGTCGTTATAGAGAGTGTAGTTTTTCTTTTTTCACCACCAATGATGTACAAACAAATTTATTTTTCTATCTCTTGACACAACCTATCAAGTGTTTTTTTTCCTTTCTATCTTTTATGACGCTAGTAAAATAAAAAATACAGTGTTTGACTAAGAACTAGAAAGATGTAAAAAAAATTGCATATAAAGTTGTGTGCTTCTCTTCATCTCTCCGAGTCCTTTATATAGGCAGTGGTTCTGGCCGTTGGCTTAAGATTCTTCAGTCATAATATCTTCAGCTAATTTGAAGGGCGAGATTTGTTATTTCCTTTTTCAGGCAGATTTATTCTAATAGTCTGACCCAAGGGATGCCTCTGAGTCCAGTCAATATATGAGGACTGAATTTTTGATTGATATATTAAACAAGATCTCCTTCCTTGTGCTTCCCTCTTCTTCTTTCTATGCATATGATATTCTTCAGATCCTCCAAGATGAATTATTGACCAATCTTGTTGATTGCGAGTTGATTGCTCGGTTTTTTTTTCAGGCGTCCTTTCTAAACAAATGTGTGCTGAATTGTCTGATTGATACTCCTTTGATTTCTCCTTGATCTCGGATCTTCCTTCAATTTCTCTTTTCTTTTTTTCTTCTCCTGATCTCCCTTGGATTTCTTCTTTTGACTCTTTTCTTGTTCTTTTTTCCAGCATAGATAGTTATAAAATTAGTATTACTTTTTGTCATCATTAAAACATATGAAATATAGACTTATCAATCTTTCCTTTTTTTTTATGATGACAACAAAAAGAGTTTAATAAGATAGATGGTACTTCCCTGATGAAAATGTGCTTATGTGCTCCCACTGTCTTATGTCTTGCAAAATTCTTTAGCTCCCCCTGTCTTATACCTTGCAAAACTCTATGTTTATCCTTCTTTGACATCAATCAAAAATAAAAAGACAAGCTCAATAACAGACATACAAAACAAGAGATACACAGAAAAATATGCAAACTAACAGATAAGACCTAATTAGAGCAGGATAAGCAGATAGTTTCATTCCCATTTCAGATGGCATGGCAGTTTAGAGATTATACAGGCCAAAAAAAACTATTTTAGCAAAAACAATCATTTCATACAAACACACAATCACAACCTTAGTTTCTCCCTAGAAAGTACTTGAGGGTATTGATGACTTTGATGCAGAAGTTATCATAGAAAGTTCTAATTTCTTTGGAAAACTTATTAATCCTCTCAGTCACAATCTAGAAAGCCTTAATTCCCTTATTCTTGATGGCTTCTAGATCCATCCTTGACTTGGCTACATCCGTCCTTGTGAATTTTGGTCATTTCTCTGATCGAGTCAACTTATCCCTGCATTTTGGTAAGCATGTCTCTGAGTCCTTCCAAGCCCTGTTGAATCTGTTGTAGATGTTTCAATGTGCTCAATAGTTTTCTCTACTTGTGCTGGTGCATATGTTGTTTTCACTCGCCTTACTCATACATCTTCAACTAGAGTGTATCCCATCATGGCAAAGACTGTTTTGTCATAAGTGAGTGCATCCATAGGCTATGGATTTTGATTTGTTATATTCAAACCTTGATTTTTTTGGAGGCTTAGAGAAGTTTATTTTTTCCTCAGACCCAAAATCAAGACTTTCAAATTTGCCTTTCTTGCATGTAGACCTTTTTGGGGTTTGATCCACGGGTCTCTTACCAGTTGTTTTCTTACTTAAAACTTTATTTTAAGAAGAATTCTTGCTTTCATCATCCATTTTAAGAGGGTGAGAGTCAAGTGATGATTCAAGATCAACAGTCTCTTCGAGGATTTGGGATTTATGAAAGCGACCGCTTCTTCGAGTGGCAGTAGAGGAAGAAAAGGTCTTAGGTTTTTCCATTCAAACTCTAAGAAAATTTTGAGAAACGAGGATGAAGTATGGAGAAGAAGGATTAAAAAGGTTGTTTGACAGAGTGAAGGGTTGTATCAGTTATAGAGATGAGGTGGGAAAGAAGAACTGAAGTGATTGCTATGAAGAGTCACTTTGGCAGTTTACAAAGCAAGTAATTTTGAAATTCAAATCATGTAAGATGCATTGAATAGGCTTAATTAAGACTTGCACATTAAAAAAGTTAATAAAATATTTTCGAGATTTTGAAAGATTACAAAAGGCCAGAATTATTTCGAAATCATGGGTACAAGACTAAATACCAATCTAAATTCACAATGAACAAAATCTTTCTTTCAAAAGTGATTTTGTAAAATTATCCGCAAGTTGAAACTTAGTGTTGATAAATTCTAATAAAATATCACCTTTTGCGATATGATCACGAATAAAATAATACTTGATTTCTATATGCTTTACCCTAGAGTCATAGAATTTTTTGACAAACAAATAATACTAATATTATCACATACAATAGGTATGGATCTAAGGTGTAGATCATAATCTAGGAGTTGATGCATAATCAAGAGAATTTGAGTACAACAACTATCAACTGCAAGATATTCAGTAGTTGACAAGACTACACAGTTTTGCTTCTTACTATGCCACTATATTAGAGCATTTCCTAATAACTGACGAGTCCCACTAGTACTCTTTCTATCACTCTTATCACCTGCAAAGTCCGCATCTAAGAAGCCTTTGAGATTAAAATTGTCAGAGCAAAAATACCATAAACCAAATTCAAATGCTCCATGAGATATCTAATAATATGTTTTATCGATTTAAGATGAGATGTGAGCCGAATGAAATCTTGCATATTTGCACCCACTAAATATGATATATGGTCGACTAGTAGTGAGATATAAAAGTGAGCTAATCATTCATCTGTACATAGTTTCGTCAACAATTTTTCCACTTTTATCTTCTTCAAAAGCTGTTGACGGACTCATAGGCATTCCAATAGATTTCTCGTTCTCCATTCCAAACCTTTTTATAAGTTCCTTGGTATACTTGGTTTGGCTGATAAAAATTCCTTTGGAAAATTGCTTGATTTGAAGTCCAAGCAATAAGGTTAATTTTCTCATCTTACTCATTTCGAATTCTCCTTTCATAATATTTGCAAATTCCTTAAAAAAGAGCAGGATTAGTACTATAAAAAATAATATGATACACATAAATTTGAATAATAAGATTTTCAGTGCTTAAACACTTAATAAACAGAGTTATGTCAATATTATCTCGTTAAAAGCCATGGTCTATAAAGAAAGAACTTAACCTATCATACCAGGCCCTAGGGGCTTGCTTCAAACCTTAAGGCTTTTGATAGTTTGTAAACATGCTTAGGAAGCTCACATTTCACAATGTTACACTTAATTTTGACCCTCCGTATTTAAAATTTAGTTCTCTTGGGTTTCTAGTTCACTAATTGCATGATATACTTCCTCCGGTTCATTTTTATTGATTTAGTTTGTTGTTTTTACATATATTAAGGAATTCACTTTTTAGTATTGACTAACAATAAAATAACCATACTAACCCTAGTTTATTCATTGAAAATATAACAAATACTCCTAGGCTCTTTACTTCGAGGGTAACTTTAGAAAAAAGAAGTTAATTCCTTCTTGATATCTGAAAAAATTAAATATTGTGGATCACAAAAAAAGGCTAAAAAATTAATTATAGCGGACCGGAGGGAGTAACACTTTTGCACATATTTTTTACTTTAATGTAATTTATTAATAATTATCCTTATTTTTGTAAAATACGAGATTTTTTTATTTTATTATAATTCGTTAAATACTAACATTTTTGTGCATTTTTTTTAATTTCAAATAACTTATTGATAGTTGTCCTACTTTCCAAAATATTAAATATTTTTAATCAATTTATTGTCAGTTAAAGAAAATTAAATATTACAATATTATTCTAATTGTTGAAATTTTTTAATATACAAGTCATATTCCCTACTAGATAGTTATCTTTTAATTTACAACACGATCTATTAATACATGGAAGCCAGTAGAATTTATTTAAAAAATAGATTAAATCCCGTGTCTCGTCAACATCTGATGTGATAACACAATGTGATGTAATAAGTCACTTGATGTAACATGACATCTTTTACCCAACGGATAAAGAACATCTTATTTTATCTTATTCTAAAGCTTAGCTATGAAGCTAACCAACCCCCCCT